TCTGGGCCCCTCAGTTCAAGAAGGACAGGGAACTGCTTGAAAGAGTCCAGCGCAGAGCCACAAAGATGATTAAGGGGGTGGAACATCTCCCTTATGATGAAAGGCTGAGGGAGCTGGGTCTCTTTAGCTTGGAGAAGAGGAGACTGAGAGGTGACCTCATTAATGTTTATAAATATGTAAAGAGTGAGTGTCAGGAGGATGGATCCAGGCTCTTCTTTGTCCAATGATAGGACAAAGGGTGCAAGCTGGAGCATAGGAGGTTCCACATAAACATAAGGAAAAACTTTTTCACTATGAGGGTGACAGAGCAGTGGAACAGGCTGCCCAGAGAGGCTGTGGAGTCTCCTTCTCTGGAGACATTCAGAACCCACCTGGACACATTCCTGGTGATCTACTCTATGTGGTCCTGCTCTGGCAGGGGGATTGGACTAGATGATCTTTGGAGATCCCTTCCAACCCCTAACATTCTGTGATTCTTCTAGTGACTGTGAGTCATCAGCCTAAACTATTGGTTTCAGTATCTATTTTCCCAGTGTGATGTAGGACATTAACTGTTGCTTCTAATGAAATCAAGATGAGATGACAAGAAGAACATTAAAGTGATCTTTTAATTTAATCTCCAAAGGTGAAGAGTAAACATAGCATGCTCATGCATGACTTCCTGTAGGGATATTGTTGTGCTGGAAGTCACCTGAAGAATTAAGACAATCTATTTTAGTGGTGTGCAGGGTGCTATTTGCTGTTCCAGGAAAGCATTTTGGCTCACTGTTTATACCAAAGCAGATCCAGCCAGTAACAAGAAAGCTTGCAAACTTACAAAAACCTTCATAATTAAATAGAGAGATGGTACAGTTATACATGTTTAGATACATACGAAGCACCTCTCTAATCAAATAATATGAGGAAAAATAACATCAATTGCATAGGATTTCAAGATGCTAATCTGAAGACAGTTTCAGAAAAATTGCTGTTTATCAGGCTTCCTTGACAGAGATACAGATACAGCAAATACATGAAATAAATGTTCCCATTGTGCCTGTGAGTTTATAAGGAAACCTTTCTTTTATGATTTTGCATTGTTAAAAGGCAATATATACACGTATTTATCTGACAGAAGATGTTGTCATCTGACATTAGTGCCTTAATCTAATACTAAAAACAGCTTAATTTTTTCTCTTTCTGATAAAAAATAAAAAGGTTGTATTCATTATGTGCAGGTCTCTGTGTTAAAATAAGTTATTTTAACATTGCAGATCTTCCAACTTTTGGCTCAACCGCATCCAGTCCTTTCTCTACTGCAATGAAAATGGCCTCCTGGGAAGCTTTTCTGAAGAGACTCACACATGCACCTGCCCTAATGACCAGGTTTCCTGCCATGGGTTCCTTCCCTGCACAGTTGGAGATGGCTCTGCTTGCTTGAGCTGTGCGCCTGACAATCGCACCCGCTGTGGGAGCTGCAATGCCGGCTACATGCTGAGCCAAGGGCTTTGCAAACCTGAAGTGGCAGAATCAACAGAGCACTACATTGGGTTCGAGACTGATCTTCAGGACCTGGAAATGAAGTATTTATTGCAGAAGACAGACAGGAGAATTGAGGTCCATGCCATTTTCATCAGCAATGACATGCGCCTCAACAGCTGGTTTGATCCTTCTTGGCGCAAACGGATGCTCCTTACTCTTAAGAGTAACAAGTACAAGTCTAGCCTGGTCCATATGATACTGGGCCTCTCTCTTCAAATTTGCCTAACTAAAAACAGCACCTTAGAGCCCGTTCTTGCTGTTTACGTCAACCCTTTTGGGGGCAGCCACTCTGAGAGCTGGTTTATGCCTGTGAATGAAAATAATTTCCCTGACTGGGAGCGGACTAAACTGGACTTACCCCTTCAGTGTTATAACTGGACGCTGACTCTGGGAAATAAGTGGAAGACATTTTTTGAAACTGTACACATCTATTTAAGGAGTCGAATAAAGTCAAATGGTCCAAATGGCAATGAAAGCATCTACTATGAACCCCTGGAATTTATTGATCCCTCAAGAAATCTGGGCTACATGAAAATCAATAACATACAAGTGTTTGGCTACAGCATGCATTTCGACCCAGAAGCAATTCGAGACTTGATTTTGCAGCTGGACTACCCCTATACTCAGGGATCACAGGACTCAGCACTCTTGCAGTTGTTAGAGATACGAGATCGTGTAAATAAACTCTCTCCACCTGGTCAACGTCGTCTAGACCTCTTCTCTTGCTTGCTCCGTCATAGACTCAAACTGTCTACCAGTGAAGTGGTGAGGATTCAATCTGCTTTGCAGGCCTTTAATGCCAAATTGCCAAACACAGTGGATTATGACACAACCAAATTATGTAGTTAACCATAAATGTGAAGCACAACACAAAACTTTGAAGGAGTTTTTACAGTGCTTTTGTGGAACAGTTAATGTTTGGAAGAGTAAATTTAAATTGTCTTTTCAATATCTGTCTTATATCAGTCAATACTGTTGGATGGCAATTTACACACATGAACTCGCTGACAATGAATATATTATACCTGCAGTTTTGGTTTATGAATGAAATAAATACTGACACCTGTCTAGAAGACATTCTACTTTTTACAATAAATTTCATTTGTAATTTTATATGTTCCGTGGCAATGCTTTTGTGCATTACATCCTCTAGAAGGAACATAGAAGGATACCAATAAAATTTTGTAGCTGAACAGTTATTAAAAAGAAATGCTGTGGGATTTTTTTTCTTACACAAAAGTAGTAACCTTGATGCACTTTTGTGTGTATTGAACACAGGAGACGTAGGTAAAGAGAAGATAATTACTCAAGATTTTAACAGAAACTTTAGAAGAGTCAAAGCCATAGAATATCTTATTCTTAGGATGTGGATCTAAATATTCATGCTGAGCTGAAGAGGTAACTGTAGTGGTGCTTTACTTGCTACACCTGAGACTTTCCTAAGGCATGCCCATTTCAAGGTGCTTAACATAACATACAGACTCCCAGAGTGGTAATATTTTTTTTTTTTAGGATGGACAGGAGGTTAGTATTGTGAGATGCACAGTAATGAAAGGTTGCATGAGCTCAACAGGGGACAGGTGAGAGGCTGTCTTTGCAACTGGTATTACTCATGTTACAAAAGAATTTTTTCCAGCCAAAGTGCTTTTTGACTCTGCCATCCTTCATATTTATAGAAATAAGCACAGATATACATTACCTCCTCCCAAATACACACACTATTATGTTTATCTAGAATTACCTGTTTTGAACTATTTACCTAAATACCATCCATGCTGATAGATTCAAATTCATTTAAACAATTTCTCTGACAATGCAACTGTTTAGTATGTGGATACTTTTTTTCACTGGTACAATAAAAAAATACACCCTTTTACAGATAACTGGCAGCTATTGAAATCTAGTTATAAAGCTGAAAGTGCAAATAAATATGTCATTATCAATTAATGAAGTTAGTTAAATGTGCATGACTGTGGATCAGAATTACGTTCTTTGGTATTCTACACATTCCAGCAGAAGAAATACATCTAAGATGGCAGAATTTTGGACTCTCAAGAAGGTTTCGCTACCTCTTGAAAGAGAAGAGAACAAATGGCTGGGGTGTCAGAAGTCTCTGTTAGTAAACACAGGGTAAATTGAATGAAATTGATACAAAGTCTTTAGTAGCACCTCCTTACATTAAGTCTGAATCTGTGTCATTGATGTAAAAGCCAACTTGTTTTTTTTAAATGGGAATTACATATAAAACTGCCATTTTATGTGCAAGCACAGAAAGAAAAAACCCCATATTTAGTTCGTATACAATTTTAATTCAACTAGACTTCAATTAATTTCAGTTAAATTCAATTTTATTAATTTCCATTTAGTTATATCACAATTTGATTCTGAATTGTAGCCTAAATCTGAATTTAAGGTACACTCCTCACTTCATTTTCAGCTAGACCACAGCAGCAGCAGAAATGCAATGCTTCATAAATACAGTGAGCAAAATAATATGCGAGGCCAGAAACACTTCAGCCTACTGCCAAGGAAAATCTTCTTTTCTGTAGTGATTCTTGTCTTGTTTGATTTCACCAAATATTTGTAAGGATTACTATTTCACCACCACACTTTCAGGTACTTCCTCAGACCTTCTATACTAGGAAGCCTCCCAGAACTAAAATTAGCATTTTTCTCTTGTAATCAACCTCTAGATGAATTCCTGTTTGTTTTCTACTTACAGCTTTCTTTTGCTGATAAATAATGTATCTCAGCACCTCTTCTATGTGTCAAACTTTTGGCTTGCTCTTGCATCGGTAAGATGTTCTCAGTTAAGATTCTTACTATTCCTATTTTCATCTACAAGTCTTTCCTTTGTTATGTCCTTGGCAACTGTAATAAATTATAGGATTAGATAGTTTGATTTTACTACACAATACCTTATATAGTCTTTTTAAATAAGAAAAAAACTATTATGTTATAAAATGAACAAAAAGCAAAAAAAAATCCTCTTCATAGCAAGTTAAAGTTACAATAGAAATGTGGGGCAATGATAAATAAAGCATTTGCTTATGTTATCCCTTCACTAGGGAAAAATACTTATATGTCACAGTAAATGAGCTGAGGGGTTTTTTTCCACTCTTTCATGCTCCTTCCTAAAATAGTTCCTCATGACCTTTGTTGGTTTTGTTGCTTTTTTTTTTTTTAAAAATACCTTTCTCTGCCAAGATGGAAAGTTCTTCACTGTGTCCAAATATGTACACAATAGAATGTACAAATAAGAAGCCAAAAGAGGTTTCAGTAAGACATCATTTAATTATTATATAACACATAAAGTGATTTGACTGGACTGTCATAACTGCATCTTTGTGCCAAATTAAAAGTATAATACAACTTTCTTAGTCTACTAGCCATGGACTAGTTTTGGATTTTGGAACCTGCGGGATCTTGGAATAGTGAGGGTTTCTATTTTACCAAAATTAGATTCCATAAAAGATAAATATAAAAAGGAAAAAAAAGTGAGTAGTGAAAAAAAAAAACATTCACAGGATTTATCTAGTTCTCAACATACAAACAGGAGCCAACAATATTTTCCTTTTGATACTTTTCCAACTGAAATCTTTCTGTGTTCTTAAAAAGAACTTCAGGATATGTAAAAAAATTCAGAAGTCTGTATAAGTCAAAACAGCCAAGGACCTGCTCCATAAGAAAATTTTGTAATAAGACATGAACAAAATTGTGGGGAAGAAAGAACTGTGGCTCCACCTATGTACGCTCATTTCCACCTGGACATTGCAGATGATTTTTAGTGTATGCTGTACATCAGATTCTGACTGGTTTTTTTGCTGTCCATTTCCCTTTGTATTCACCAATGCTGTTATTACTTGCCATTATAAACTGAAAAAACCCCAAGTAAATTATAGCAATATATGGAAATGTACCATGACAACCTAAAACAATATTCGGAACAAACTTTACTGACTATAGTTATAATAACCAGGTAGATAGTAATTATAACGTAGTAACCTTCCTGCTTAAGCAAAGGCAACTATTATCTGATAAAAAGCTCTTATGACACTATTTTCCAAGCAAATAAAATACAGATCATGTCTGAAGTCTGGCAGCCAAACTAATGTCTAGAAGTTCTACTGCAGGAACAAACCGTAATAAGGATAGGCTACCTTATCACTGCCTAGAAAACAGAATTAGGTTTGCCAGAGTGATCTAAACCTCTGGGTGACACAACTCAGAATACAGAGGCTGAATTGAATCATATTAAAAATATCATGAAGATTAATAAACTTTAATTTCTCTATTTTCTTACTGAAAAAATGGAGGCAGAAAGAAAATGTGTTCAAATTTTAGTTACTGAATGTGGGGAGAGGTGTAGTTGCATTTCAGGTTGTTTCTTCCCTTTCCACAGAACAGTTATATCTGTACAAATATTTGAAGGAAGAGTCTTTGTTTCTGAAAGTATGCATATGCTGACTGCATTTATTGTGAAATTGCTTATTCAGCAGATACTTCAAGTTGGTAAAGAGGCAAAAGCCAAGAGAAGTAATTTTTTCCCAGGCTGAGTAAGCAGCCAGGTGCATCTTAAGCAGGAGAGGGGATAAAGACATGAAGAAGGCTACTACAATTTTTGAAAAGTCATTTGCTTGAAAATACAGCACATATTCCAGGTACAAAGCAAAACAGCAGAGCACCAAGGAAGAAAAGTGACCCAACACCCACATCACTGCTCTAATGAGCTACATCTAAAGTTTTGAGTCCAGGTTAGCAATAAATCTGCAACAGAAAATAGGTAAATGTGATATAGTGAAAGATCAGTCTTTAACAATTCAGCAGCTATTGCTTCTTTGACAGATGAGAGAATCTGAACTATAGCTTAAGCTACCACACTCACCCTTATGAAAGGGAGCACCCTCTAGATGGTGCAAAAGGGGTTCCTGTCAAGACAGCTGGAGTACAAGCAGGAAGCCAGGAAAAACTGGAGAGAGGGAAGGAACCAGGTTCTCATTTTACTAGGCTTTTCAACAAGTGAAAGCGAGCCCTTATGTCCCATTGTAGTTAAAATGGTAACTTCTTAGTAACAAGAAGCGTCATGTCTCCTTTTTCGTGAGAATCAATGACACGAAGAGACCGTGACACCACAGCTAGTATGGTGTTATTATTGCCATACACAGTTGATTGAGACTTACAGCACAGGCAGTTTATAGGGATGCATGACTGACATTCGGTCTGTTCACTCAGCTTCGTATTCTAAGCAAGAAATCTATTCTAGATGTGGCATAGTAATCTAATGTTCTTCTGCATACAGATAGCACTCCTGAAGCAAGCTATAACCCTGAGGCACAGTGTATATAATGTCAAAGTATCCATAGTTCAGAGTATATGGCTTTCTGAGACGTTCTGGGTTCACAGCATTTGGCAGAGTGGCCACACCACAGACTACACTGCTTTAGGAGTGAGTTCGTGTGGAGAAGCAGGAGTCATAATTTCTTTCTCTCTTTGTCAAGCCAACAACAATAAGGTGTGAATTATGATTAAGGAAGCAGTTTTACCTTTGAGGAATGGTGAAAATTTTTCCTTCTCCACAGATTATTTCTTAGATGGTAATGTGCATATAAAACTGTCAGTATCTCTTGTCAACACACATATTCCTCTTTATTTTACGGCACATTTTAGTCCAACATATGCATATATGACAGAGAAATACAGCTAAATGGCAATGGTAGTAACAAGAGCTGATGCAGGGTTATCTGTTCTCAGGACACAGCTGCACTAGTTATTGCGTATCTACCTATGATCTCCTCTTCAACATACAGCAAACAGAATAGAGGGTAAAACCACCTGTTTTTTACTCTGAAAACAATACACCCTTGAGAGGTTCTAATCCAGAGTGTGACCACCTTTCAAACACATTACAAGAGCTTTCTATTTTTTAAAAAAGGGTTTTTGGCATTTCTCAGCTGACATGAAAGGGGAAAGAGAAGAAGATGATTAAACCAAAGCTAAGTAAGTGCATATCAAACTACGATTCTTCTGTGGGGAAGGGGGAAGAACAAAGAATCTTTGAAGTCCCTTTGGGACCTCATCACAGGTGTGTAACTCACTTTGAGAGCATTTAGATACAATAGGGATAAATGCAACAGAAGACCAGAAATGCAAAGATTAGGTGCAATTGTTTAGCACGAGTGTTGAAGAAGAAGATTGACCA